GAGAGCATGTTCAGTATCATATACATTAGGGATGCAAATTAAAACAACAGTGAGACACTATTACATTACTTAGCAGAATGGCTAAACTTCAACACCAAATGCTGGTGAGGACATAGACAAACAAGAACTCTTCTCATTCACGTTTCATGGAAACACATTTCCATTCATTAGTCACGGAAACACAAAACAGCTCAGCTACTTTGGAAGACACTTTAGTGGTTTTTTACAAAACTAACCATTTTCTTACTCAGATGATACAGCAATCATGCTCCTTGAAAATTACCCAAATCAACTGTAAACTATGCCTACACATAAACTGCACATTAATGTTCTTAATAGCTTAATTAATAATTACCAAAACTTGGAAGCCATAAATATTCCTAAAGAGACTAATGAATATTGAAACTGTGATAGAGCCAAACAATAGGATATTATTCAGGATATTTTAATTCATTATAAAAAAGAGCTATGAAGTTAATTACAGAAATGGAGGAAGCAAATGTACATTGTCAAGTCAAAGATGCCAGTCTGAAAAAGCTAGCACTGTGTGACTTTAACTGTATCACATGATAGAAGAAGTAACACTTTGGACACAGTTCAAAGGTCAGTGTTTCTAGGGATGGAAGGAGAGGGAGTTGGCCAGGTGGATTACAGGGGATTTTTAGGTTGATATGGAATAGTTTTAAGGCAAGGAAACTACCCTGGGTAATACTAGAGTGGTGGATACATGTCATAATACGTTTGTAAAAACCTAGAAAATATAAACCACCAAAGAATGAGCCTTTTATTTTTTTTATTTTTTGACAGTCAGAGTGGACAGTGAGAGACAGAGACAGAGACAAAGGTCTTCCTTTGCCATTGGTTCACCCTCCAATGGCCGCCGCAGCCGGCACACGGCGCTGATCCGAAGCCAGGATCCAGGTACTTATCCTGGTCTCCCATGGGGTGCAGGGCCCAAGCACTTGGGCCATCCTCCACTGCACTCCCTGGCCACAGCAGAGAACTGGCCTGGAAGAGGGGCAACCGGGACAGAACCCGGTGTGCCGGCGCCGCAAGGCGGAGGATTAGCCTAGTGAGCCGCGGCGCCCGCTATGAATGAGCCTTAATATGTACTGTGAGTGTCTGTTGACAGTGGTGTGCTAGTGCTAAGTCATCAATTGTAACAAATATACCACACAGGTGGAGGATGTTGAGGACCAGGGCGCGGAAGCCTTGTGAGTGTGTCGGGTGGAAAGGGTGGTTGTATGGGAACTCTGTACTTTCCACTTAACTTTACTGTGAGCCTGAGATTTTTCTAAAAAACTAAAGAAAGTCGGTTAAGAAATGCATCAATCAGCCATCATCATAGTATTTTTTTAGACTCCCACAGGTGCAGGGACAGCCAGACAGAACAAACCCCATCTCAGCAATCCACACTATCAAACAGAGAAGGTTACCTTCGATCATTTCCTCGCAGACTAAAGGGGATTTTCTTCTTTGCTTATTTCTACAGTTTCAAGCTCTTAGAGGGCCCAGGGAAAAAGTCAGCTGAACAGCCAGCTGTGAGCCAGCCTCTGGGAAGCGCAACAAAACACAGCGGCACTCAGACTTCCTTTCCCAGAACAGACACGGATAGACTGTTGTTGCCATGGAAGCAAGACACAGGGCGGATCTGCTGTCTCAGGCTTCCCGCCCTTCCCCACACCTGCAAGTTCACCTGCCCGAGTCCACCGTTGATATCTTCCTGTTTTATTTTGTGTCTTTTCTGTTCTTCCAGAGCACTTGACATAACGATCATGAAAACACGCTGTCATTTCTCCTCCCCAAGTCTCTAGGTCGGTGGTTTTTAAGTTCTGCTACACACTGAAATCTCCTGGGCAGATTGAAAAAGGGCTGACACCTGGCCTCTGCCTCCTGAGATTCTGATTCAGTTGGCCTGGATCTGGATCAGTTTACTGCCTTCCCAGGTGACTCTAACATGTAACCACGCTTGTAAGCTTCTGGTCTTGGAGAGCCCTTTGGATTCACAGGCACCACCCTCCAGCCAGTCACATAGATTTGTAAAATCAGTTTAAGGACACTCTTTCCCACCCTACTCATCTTCAGCACATCCAGGAAGATTCCAGGAAGTATTTTTCATCCATTTGTTCCAGAATTTTAGCAGATGTGTCTGGAGCACCACTAAGTTGGATGCTGAAAAAAAGAGTTGCTTATCAAAAGCACTGTCAACCTAAACCTGTCTAATACAAGGGACTAAGTTATAGGGTCACCATTTATAGTTTTCATATGTTTCATACAAGATCTCGGGTCAGACTCCATTTGACAAGACGCTGTCCTGGTTCAGGGCTGTGTTAGCCAGAAGTAGAGGTGTGTGTAGGGGGTGCTCTTTGTAATTCACTCAAAGGTACCACACAGTAGACTCAAGTGCAGACTTGAGCCTCATGCAGAATGACCAAGCTAGGCACTAACACCATGCCTGACACATAGCAGGCACACAATTATTCCACACTAACTAAAAGGATCTATATAAAAATGTGCAGAGTTAGGGATTAATTCTATCCAGAGCGATGTCGTCTAGGTAATATTGGAGCTCAGTCTGAGGCGTGACATGGCCTTCAGAGAGACAGGAGGGGAGCATTCTTCCGTGGAGTGGACAGTGGGCATCTGATACCTGAGTCATTTATATCCACTAAAGCACAGCACAGAGCGACCCCTTGAGGCAGGCAGGTTGAGTGGGGTACAAGCACTGAAGAGTTAATGATGGACTTGGGACTTTTATCCAATGGGGAGCAGTTGCAGGATTTCCAGGTAAGATGTAAGACAAGCAGATCTTGGCTTCTAGATGATACCAGTAGCCAGGCCATATGGTGCAAGGTCACAGGGGGAACTCAGGAAAGGAACAAATGACCATTAAGACAAGCAAAGTTGGAAGGGCCCTTGGTGTACCAAGGGATCCTCAAAGGGACCTGAGGAGTTGATTCCTTAGAGTCCTGATGGCTCAGCTCTATCCTGCAGCCTCACACATACCTTGCTCACATTCTGCACCCCTTGAGTTTCCGGTTTGCTCTCCTAACCTTTGCAGTGGATGGAGCCATGGGGTGTGTGTGTGTATGTATGTGTGTGTGTGTAGGGCAGTTCCTTAGAAAATCAGATACCACCATCAGTCAGACAAGAAAGATTCTTGGGAGGACACACATCTTAATACCCTCCAAACCTGTTCACAACCAACAGACACAAGAGGACCTGGACCAGCAGGAGACAGAATGGCACACGGCCACTCCTCTCCTTCCAGAGAGCACAATGACCCCAGCAGAAACATTTCTGCAGAAACTTGGCTATGAAAACCGCACTGTAAATAGCCCTCCCTGCTTAGGGCTTTCAATGTTTCAATGCCTCTCTTAGGGCTTTTCTATGTTTCTGGAACTCTGAGTAAGGATATTGATTTAACCTCAAAAGTGGCATCTTAACACATCCACGTTCAAAAAACAAAAAGTTTCTGGTATTCCTTTCCTGGGATTTACCTCTGAAATGAGTAAAAATCGGGGTTAGTGTATGTCCTTATTTCTTCACATTCTTTTGTGAAATCTGAGTGTTCTTGTTGAAGTGTAGAACAACTCCAATAGTGTTATCTTCTGGGCATTTAAACAAACAAAAATCCCTAGGCCCCACATGTCTTACTAAGTCAGAAGCTCTGCGAGTCAAGCCCAGTGCTGGGATTTTCACAAACTCCCAGCTGATTTAACACATTTCCTCCCCGACTTCAGACATCCATGGAACTTTGCCATTTGCTACTATTCACTCAGGTTTAACTTTAAAAATGTGTTTGCCCTAAATAATATCTGATAAATTATTGATTTTGATGCATTTTTTAAAAATACACAAATAGTTATTTTTAAGATCCATTTATGGACCAATTTAAGTGGGCTCCTGCCTACTGCCTCCCAAAGCTGCTGATGTGAGAAGAGCTGCTGCAGGTCCAATGCAGTCAGAGCCAAACGTTGCTACCTGCACTCTCTACCTGCAGATGCCCCTCTTGGGCTTGGATGAGCTCTGTGCAATGCCCCTGGCCGCCGAAGTGTGCCCTTGCCCTCTCTCCCCTACCTGCCTCCCTTCTGTTGCCGTGACCACCCTGAATTTTTCACAGTGAGCCATACCTGAACTTCTAAAGGAGGTAAAGAATGAGAGATGTTAATAGATGTCCAAATATAGTTTGGTGATGGATAATGTTAACCATGAATGTGCTAATGGGCTTTGTTTTCTAAGCATGGGACCCCTTTCTCAAAGAGATGTATTCCTGGAGCCCTTCCTACCTGGAGAGGCACACTGCCCACCTTGCTACCCTCCTCACGTACTTGGCTGCTCTCCCAGGGGCATTTTTATCCTTAGAACACAACCTCCTCTCTCTTAATACATGCACTTCTTCCTGCCCCAGGGCCTTTGCATTTGGTGGTTTCCTTTCACCAGATACTCATATGGCTGCTACCCACACTTCCTTTTGGTTGCAGTTCAAATATCACCTTTTTCCCACAGGTCACCCCTTCCGGCCAGCTAGCTGAAGTTCCCTCACTCCCCACCCCTAGCTCCCCTGCCCGCTACACAGGGTTTCTCAGCTAGGGCTGTTGCTGCCCCTCAGGGGACATTTTCACAAGTCCCAGCTGAAGGCTATGACTGGCATCTCTCATAGAAGGGACAAAAGGTGACGCCCAGGGTAGCCCACAACCGAGTTTCTTGGCCCCAAAAGCCATAATTGAGAAGCCGGCCTCTGTCACAGTATTTTTTCCTGAACATTCAATATACCAGCAATGGTGGTTCCTGTGTGTTTCTTTCCAACTAAATCGGAACTTCTCAGGAACTGGCGTTTAGGTTTGTTCTGTGCTCTCTGCCCCAGAACCTAGAAGAATATGACACCTGCTTGACTCTCAACAAACTATGTCCTGGGAGTTCACAGCCAGAGTTCTCAGCCTGGCCCAAACTGGGGGGCCTCAGGAGCTGGCGAGTTAGGTTTCAAGTGAAAACAGACCAAAGAAAACAAAAGTCCTTTATTAATGAGTATACATTCACCTGAACGTGCACAACCACTAAGAACCCTTGACACTTGCAAGTACTCAGAAAATTAATTCATCTTTACCACCATCAGTAAACATAGTGACATGGCTGTTTCTTAAAGATGTATGAAATTTCTTGGGTTTAAATATATAGTCTGAATCACACCAGTGCCCTCATATCCCAAGATAAATTGTATGTAATGCAATCTCAACTGTGTTTCAAAGGATCAGAAACCAAAGTTCAGTATGATTTATAAGATTGATACTTATAATTTCACAATTCTTAAAGACTGATATTTACAAAAAATATGTATTAACTAATTTCCTCCCCTTCTCTTCCTACCCATTCTCCCACTCAGATATTGACAATTTGTTTCTACTATAAAGTGACACATTATCCAAAATCAAATTTTGCAAAGAAATTAAAAAAAAAAGACTGATCAGTAAACCACTGAAATTATTTACCAAGATTCATGCTACATCTACTAAAGAACCTATTGGAGAAAAAAAAAACCTTTCATTTCTGTAATGTTTTTCACTTCTAAAAAATTTCTCACAAACAACAATTCATTGGAGTTACCACTATACACCAGGATAGATATGGAAATGATAAAACAAGAGAAAATTTAGGCAAAAAGAATAATTTCCCTCAATGTCATCTAGTGCTAATGCTGAGTGGGGATTAGAACCCAGGTCCTATCTTTAGCCCTGTATACTACCTGCCTTCCCCAAAGCCCTCATACACTGTTTCACAGGATGCCATGAGTTACAGTACTCTTATGTTCAAACAAGTCGGAGAAACACTGAATTCAACAAAGGTATGCAGAATCCCAGAGCCCCTACTGTGCATCATCAATCTCCAGGAAGGGCATGGGGAACAGAGCCAGCATCATAAACTCAGGGCCCTAAGCTACTCAGCAGGTAGCCTGGTCCCAAAGGAATGCAATTCAGTGTTGTCAAGTCTCTTCAGAGAAGCTGCAAATCAGGGCTTTAATTTCAAACCTCCAAGCTTGGGCATGTTGCCTCAAAATTAAGGGGGAAAAACCTAATCAATGTTTGGGCCAAATTAGGCTGGCCCATTTGGAAACCTGGCACATAGTGTGGCACAATCTTATCTGCCACAGAACTTGAATGCAGAGGGCCCATTCATTTTCACAAACTCTACAGAACAGTGTCAAAAACGTGACCTTTAACAGCAAATATCTTGCCCTGCTGGACCACCATGGTGTCAGGAGCTCTGAACCTCGAGTGCAAATCACTCCAAGGTTTACTCAAACTGAAATAGAAAAAAAACACCCAGGCTGCTTAACTGTAGAAATATTTTTTTTTTCCGACAACTCTGGCCCTTGCAAATCTTCACTTCTAAGTCATCGAAAGGTGACTGAAATATCTTTACAAAGAAGCCTTTAGCTCTCCTGGCAAAGCCAAAAATTGAATTGAATTGTGAAAAAGAGCTAGATGGATTAGATTTGAAAAAGAATCTTTACCCTTCTGAAACAAAGTTAAATATGTACGTAGTTTGGAGACAATTAAGAAATTTCAAATGTTGGTTCAAATACTATTATAATTGCAATAAAACTTTGCTGAGACAGAAGCCTCTTTCTGTATTCCCTCCTTTTTTCCCCTTTCATTTCTGCTCTCATTCTAAAAATCGTCAAGATTCTGTTGGTTACCTAGGGAAGCATCTTGTACCACACCGCAGACTCGTCCTGCGAGGCCTGCACACCGCCGGGATCGTGAGGGCGATGGCGTTCTTCGACAAGAAGCACCGGAGACAAGTTTTGGTGAACATGTACACTTTATTAACGACCACGCACACCTTTTAAAGGACAGGCAGAGGGGGCGTAGCTCATTCAGGGCAACACTAATTCTATAGGATAGAGCCGATATTGGTGCCGATAAGCTTCTCCAACCAGCTGGAAGGTCACGAGGGCTACGTAGCTTTCCAGGTGGTCCTAATGGGCCTGGCCCACACCTGGGAGCTGTTTACCTGATTGATAATTACAAGACCCTTCAACAGGGAGCGGGGTGGGGCAAATGCTCGTGGGGCTCTGCTGCCTGCCGGCAGTCAGGCCACTGGGGAAGGCGTGGCGTGCCATGCCCTTCTAACCTCCCGCATGGGCTAGGCAGGCAATCCCCCAGCCAGGCCCAGCATCACCCACACCGCACTGCAGATGTAGTAGGTGGTACAAGTGTAGTAGAAACAGCACAAATGTGTAAAATCACAGCATCAATTATTTCCTTTCTTTGGTATCTATTTTGTCCATACTCACTACTATAGTGTCATCTGATTGTTAAAATAGGCGTCCTGATCCAGGGATCAAGCGCTTAACGCATCCAGGGCTGTTAAGAAAGTAGATACACCTGTAATGGTGAATTAAACTCCTGCCGGCCTACAGAAAAATAGACATGTGCTCTCCTGTGATTTGAAACCCTTGAAGGACATTTGATATTGCAACATTTGATATTACAATAAAAAAAGTAATCAACAAATGCTTCCAAAATGAATCTCAAATTGGATTTTCTGATTTTTAAGTTCTAGTCCCCTCCTCTTGATCATTTTGGGGACCAGGGCAATCATTTCCTGTGCTTCCAGTTACCATTTTCTTTGATGGATACATGAGTCACGGGGTCTAGAGGGAACAAATAACTCAAAAATGTTCTTGTTTGAGAGAGAACTCTGCAATGACCAGAAAGATTGAGACAGTTTTAGTATACAAATTAGCACTGAATTAACAATGACATTGACAATACACAGTTTTCAGTTAGGGTCTCCCAGGCCCTGTGGCTGACATGTTGGAATGTCGAATGAAACTGACACAGAAAAATGGTCCTGGAGTTAACGGGTATCCAGCATGGTGACATCTGGTAAGTGTCTTCTGTAATCACCATGCCACATTGGAGAGCTGCGCCAGGTCTTATTCCATAACATAAAGATTATCCTCAATAATGTAGATATTGTCTTCTGCTCGGACTCGCACTTTATTTGCAGTTTGTGGAGCTCCAGTTTGAGGGGTATTAAATGAAACCATACTGCAGAAAGAATTGTCGAAAAGTAGCGTGAGGAAGGAAAAACCAGACCACAGTGCATACGTTTATGATCAGGCAAGAGTGATTATCTGCATTTCTAGGAGCCCCATTCATACAGACTATGAACAAAATTGCACTTTCTGGGGTTGTGAGCAGTGTGGCCCTGAGTATTAAGTTGCAGTAAAAATCTGTTTTATAAGCGTATAAACAAACTAAGAAGTACTCAAAAGTCTCAGACTGTTCTCCTTTGGGAGACTCATATAAGAGAATATAAAAATAGAAGATCTAAAAACAGATATCTGACATCAAACTGAGTTACTAAATCAAGGTGCTTATTTTCAACTATGGCTAAGAACTTACTGACCAGAGCTTTTCTTGCTATACATTGTGACCCTTTGCAATGCTATTAAACCCACTCGGCGCTATACATCCTGTGTTTAATATAGACTAGAAAAATAAGAATGCAGGAAAATAGTACTGTTTCAAAAGTGTACGCTGGGGGTACAGCGGGTTAACGCCCTGGCCTGAAACACCGGCATCCCATATGGGCACCGGTTCTAGTCCCGGCTGCTCTTCTTCCAATCCAGCTCTCTGCTATGGCCTGGGAAAGCAGTAGAAGATAGCCCAGGTCCTTGGGCCCCTGCACTCATGTGGGAGACCCGGAAGAAGCTCCTGGCTGTTGTGGCCAATTGGGGAGTGAACCATCGGATAGAAGAAAATCTCTCTCTCTCTCTCTCTCTCTCTCTCTCTCTCCACCTCTCACTGTGTGTAACTCTGACTTTCAAATAAATAAATAAATCTTTAAGAAAAAAAGTGTATGTTGGGCCATGGTGCTAAAAAATGAATCTTGGTGGGTCAAATTTCAAAAGCTAGGATTAGGTTAACTTTTCAAATTTTTCTTTATGTATTTTAATTTTATTTGAATGAGAAGGAGGGGAGAGAAGGAAAGAGAAAGAGAGGGAGGGGGAGAGAGAGAGACAGAAAGAGGGAGAAGAGAGAGAGAGAGAAATCAATTTTCATCCAGTGGTTCACTCCCCAAATGCTGCAGCAGCCAGGGATGGGCCAATCCAAAGCCAGGAACTAGGAACTTAACCTGGGTCTCCCATGAGGATGGAAAGGGCTAAAGTACCTGAGCCATTGCTGCTGCCTCCCAGGGTGCACAGTAACAGGGAGCAGCATGAGAGGAGCCAGGACTCAAATCAGGTACCCTGACAGGGGCTGAAGGCATCTCCAGCAGCATCTTAACCACTGTGCCAAATACTCATCCCCAGTTGCAGTCAGAACACATAAACTCACATCTGCCAAGTGTACCAAAGGGTCAGGCGTTGGAGACTAAGGATTAATTTTTGCATAGCGCTTTCGGTATTCTGTGTGTCTGCCTCTCACGCCAAGTTACAGGATGTACTTTACTGCGACTGCTTCAGGAGCTTGTTGGGCATTTCCTGCTGCTCAGGGCGGCCAGAGGGAACTGACATTTGGATTCTGGAGCAATCAAGGAGGTATAAGGGCAGAAAACAGACGAAACACCAGCTAGTGTTAGACAGTGTGTTATAACTGATGTTCTGGCATTTATTTATGGTGACTTGCTCTATTACCCAAGAGCACGCCCCACTGAACATATCTAAAGAGACGTAGAGACCAAGCCACTCTGTGGGCCTGGAACACGTCAGCCACACACATGTGAAAGCACTCACTTAGGTGTCAATAAACTCAAATGAGTCAGTGTGGCACAACTGATGTAAGTGCCAGGAAGATAATGTCGTGAGGGAACGCACGTATGTTAAGCAGCTTATTTTTTCAAAAGTTTACATTTTCCCCAATATTTTACTTTGTAATGGAGTAATAAAAAGCAAACTTTTTAAAATAAAAAATAGTAAGTTACCACAGGGGCAGAAATTAAAGAACTAAGAGGATGCTGTTCCACGCCTTTCTACCTATGAGGAGCATTTCCTTCCCACCCTCAGGAGCTGTTCGTCAAAACTGTTTATGAGCCTGGATCTTCAAGATAGAGTCCTTTATAGGATGTGTTTTGTGACCTTAGACGTCACCTCACATTTCTGAACCTATTTTCTAATCTCTAAAATGAAAATAATTGCAGTGATGTCTCAAAGTTTTTATTGCTGCTAAGGGCATGGTTGCAATAATAAAAGCCAAGCCACACTGAACAATTACAATATCCTGGACCTGCTGGAGCCATGTTCTATGGATTGGCTCATGTAATTAACTCAGATACAGGAGAGTCTGTGTATAAATAGCCAATGATGAAGAACTAACAAAAACGGATGGCGACCTACGAGGGGTGGATCTTGATTCAAAAACGTCATGTGTTCATGCTCAGCCTGAACCAAATGAAGCACACTGGCTGGCCTTAGAACGAAGTAGCCATCCCCTACCACTGCAAGCACTGGAGCACAGACAGAGTAAAGGGGTCTTACGTTTTATCGGGGCAGCAGGGTGGACTGAAATATCTTCACAAATACAGTAAGTCCAAGCGCCTACAAGGCCAGACAACTCCTAAATGAGTGGTACGAGCTCGGAACGGAGCAGCAGGGAGTGACAGAAGCTGGGGCAGCTGGAGACACTTGCCCTCCTCAGTGCCTTCCTGCCCCTTCGGCCAGACATTCTCTTCCTCCAAGTCTTGTATTTGCTTGGAATTCAGACAGCCCATTGCCCTGCTTTATAATATGATGGTTGTCTAGAAGCCCCTAAAAGGACCCCATTTATTTGCTTATGTGCTTTCTGTTTGTTCAATTCTTTGGACTATAATAAGCACTCAGCAAATGCTCAATAAAAAGGGACATGACTGAAATGAAAGAACAAACCAAAGCAACTCACTGCAAGTTCAGTTCCATCAAGCAAAAATTTACTATTCAGCTCTCTTGTTCTAGTGGGTTAGGATTAGGTGCTCTTTCTAGACCAGTTTTGCTAAAATTCTGGGAAACACAGAAAGCTAAACATTTCAATGGAAAGTAGGGCTAACAATAGAGGTGCTCATTAAACTAGATTTTGAAGATCCAGGATATAAAATAGAAAGTTGAGGAGAAAAAGAGGAGCAGGACAGAAAACATTATCCTTTTCTTTACTAGAATAGGAACATCAGAAGGCTTTGACACAAACCTTCTCAAGCTTACCTTAGTGGTTGCATTTTCTTTTTAATGTAGAAATACTCTGCATGGGGAAGGGGGAATTAAAGAGAACATTAAACATGTCAGCCAGTGTTCGGACAGCTTCCAGCCAAGTGTATCATTCCTCTTCTTACCTGGGCCCTTCCCCAGTAACCTCTAACTCCTTCCATTTTCCCTTTGTGAGTATGGAGCACTCAAACAGGCCTTTCACTGCTCACCACCTCATTTTCATTAAGGTCTGGGGCACTTGCCACATGCCCTAACTTACTTTAATACTGTTGCTAAATCACTTTTCATTTAAAAAATAAGTGGAAAAGCCCAGGAGTTTTCTGATGGGTTGCCAGCGAGCAGCCATGAACCAGGGCTGTCCTGGGATAACCAGGAAGTAAGGTCATTCTATGGGCACCTCTATCAACGCCCAACTTTGCCAGACTTTACACCATCAGTCATCCCTTCCCTTAAAGGGGGATTAGAGAATTGGTTTAGCTAAGGGGGGAAATGTGTTTGAGGCATTTTTCACAATTTCTTTTATTTAAATTTTTTAAAATTTATTTGAGAGGGAGAGAGAGAGGAAACTCTCTCATCCATTGGTTCACTTGTATTGCATTGGCCTGGCCAGGAACTGGGTACTCAGTTCAGGTGTCCCAAGTGGGTGGCAGGAACCCAGTTATTAGAGTCATCACCTGCTGCTTCCCAGGATCGGCATCAGGAATCTGGAGTTAGGAGCGAGAGCCAGCAATGAAACTCAGGCACTCTGATGTGGGATGCAGGTGTCTTAACCGCTAGGTCAAAAGTTGTCCCATCCACCTTTTTAAAAAAATCTTTCCATTGTCTTAATAGTTATACTGACTAACATGCTGAGAATTTCCTAGATTTGTTAACTCTCCTCTGCGCAGACACATAAAATCTAATAATGGATTCAAAATTGAGGTCTTGCAAAATAGATGACTGGGATTCTCTCACAGGGGCAGGTTATACTGAGAGAAACACACACGCACAACTGGCAGAAGGCGGACATAGAGCCCAAGTGGCTGCCTTCTGAAGCCCTTTGCTCTAGACTCAGTCCTGTGACCAGTTCCCCCTTGCACTGTCTCATTTGCCTCCTCTGCTAAATGGCTGTTGTACCATTTTCAGCACCATCACCCCTTAGGGCCAAATATTGGATCCTAGAAAGAGAACAAATCTCACATATTACAGTGCTTTGTTGCCATCTAACCCTTCCCAACTTGTTTCTTAGTGTAGTCAGCCCTCAGTATCCATGGGCTCAACACCCATGGACTCAACCCAATCTTACAAGAAAAAAAATATTCAGAAACAGAAAACGTGCATGTACTCAACACATACAGATATTTTTCTTGCTCTTAATCTCTAAGCAAAATGGTATAACAGCTCTTTGTATAGCTTTTACATTGTACTGGGTATTATAAATAATCTGTATATGATTTAAAGTATATGAAAGGCTGTGCATAGGTTGTTTGTGAATACAATTCCATGTTCTATAAGGGACTTCAGCATCCTTGGATTTGGGTATCCAGAGGAGAAAGGGGAGGGAGTGTCCTGGAACCAGTCCTCAGCAACAGGGAGGGATAACAATTTAATTTCTCCTATGGGGAATTTAAATTTAGTTTTTCTCCTTAGAAGGCCTATAATTGAAAAATGAAGAACAACACAGTTAAGAAAAAAATGGTGTTAAGCAAGAACTCCTCTCAAACATAAGCTCCATGAGATTTACAGAGAGTATTACAGAAGCTGTTTTCTATTACAATAATAACAGTTTAAGATTGCTGTGCATGTACCGTGTGCCAAACACCACGCTCAGTACGCTGGAGGTGCTAATGCACTTAAACCTCATATCCCCCCTTGCGGTAGACAGTGCTATAGTGCCAAGTGCATTTTACAGATGAGAATTTTGGGACATGGAGGAGCTAATAAAAATCACAATCATGTTGCATATGGGATATTTGAATCCAGGCACTCAAGTCCCTTAGGAACAGTCTTGAAATGACTTACTTTTGATGAGCATGACAACAAAAACAGCAAGCAACACCAAGGCAGAAGCAAAGATTCCAATATAGATTCCCTTCGTGGTGGTCATCCATGGATTTTGTGCTGGGAATGCTTGCTAAGAAAACATCAGCAGATGGAAGAAGTACCTTGTTAGAATTATGAATGGAAAACATCCCCTAGATTAACCTATCCAGACACATTTATCTTTATTGGCCCTTGGCTACTTCTGGAATGTGAGGGTAAAACTAAATAATCTGAGGTTATGACTGTATTGTGAAATTCTGAGACAATCTGAAATTCAAAACATATTCTAGGGTGATAAAAATGTTTTATATCCTCCTTAGAGTGGTATTTACATAGGTGGATACATTTGTCAAAACTAAAAACTGTATGCTTAAAATGGGTTTATACATAATGTATGTAAATTACATCTAGTTCAGAAATCAACCAGCTATTTCCATTAAATATGTCCTCCTATGATAATAAAAAAGAATAGAAACAATTTTTGTTCATATATGTTGACTTGATCTAAAGATATCTAAATGTGCTCAACTCGTGAATTTGACTACAGCCATTACTTGTTTTGTAAACTGTAATTCGAGATGCTCTCTATGTCTGCCTACATAGACTGCAAAGCAGCTTCTCCCACACATGGTGCTGATGAACAAGTTAAGGCCGTGCAATCAGGCAAGAACACAGAATTGTTTTTAAACCTCCTAGTGCACATCCTAAGCAATCGCTACCTCCCGGAACATGACTAAAACATGTCAGGGTTCACACTAGAACTTTTTCATAGCTCAGTTCTGACCCCCAAGTCATCCCACAGAGCAGGTATTTTAACGGAAAGGAAGTAGAGAACTAGAGGATCAAGTCTCTTCCAGCAGGCAAGAACTAAACTGTGAAGTCAGAATCCCACCTCCTCTGCTTAGCAGCAGCATGACATGGATAAGTTATTTAGCCTCTCTCAGTTTCTGTTTCAGTGTCTGTAAACAGCAGAATCAGAAAAGTTCTTGGGTAAGGTACTTTCAGGTACTTCCTGAGGAACACTATTAAGAATATAGAGGAGGGTAATGACATCTGAGCCATTAATTACCTAGAGGGGTCATAGCCCATATCTAGGAGGAGAAAACTGTGTTATTTCCTTACCAAAGTGGGGAGTGAGTAGATGGATGGAAGATGTGTTTTTGGAGGGAAGCTTTGCTTTTATTGTTAAATTACAATGCATTAACACTGCATATTCATTTTAGAATGCGCAGCTAAGCATAAAAAAGCAAAACCAAAATCAACCATAACCTTAATATCCAGAAACAAGCTCTATTACCATTTTGCTTTATATACTCTCTAGAATTTTATCCTTCAGGGGTTATTTAATGGAAACAACTACTAAATTCTATGTATACTACAGTATATATTCTATTGTAGAAGTTGCTATTCTCACCTAAAAATACATGGTGACCCACACCTTCCCAAGTCAGCAGGTTCCCTGCGGTGACACTCTTTTTTTTTTCCCCCTTTTATGGTCCAGGATTGGGGCCAGCATTGTCCATTCAGCAGGTTAAGCCTGTGCCTGCAATGCTGGCATCCCATATTAGCACTGATTCAAGTCCTGGCTGCTCTACTTCCAATCCAGCTCCATGCCAATGCACTTCGGAAAGAAGCAGAAGATGACCCAAGTGCTTGGCCCCTGCACCCATGTGGGAGACCTGGAAGAAGCTCCTGGCTCCTAGAATTGTCCTGGCCCAGCCCTGGCCATTGTGGCCATTTAGGGAGTGAACCAGTGGATGGAAGAATTCTCTCTCTCTCTCTCTCTCTCCCCTCTCCCTCTCCCTCTCTCTCTCCCTCCTCTCCTTCTCTCTCTCTCCTTTCTCTCTGTAACTCTGCCTTTAAAATAAATAAAAATCAATCTTCCAAAAATTATTGATATCACCCCTATGTGGTAATATTCTCATTGTCACTAAGGTCCAGTGAAAGGACTTTTGGCCCTGCCCTAAACAGCCCCACCACGCCTGAGCCTTTTAAATTTCTCTTATAATGGCCATGTTATCATTTCTCACAACTGCTATCAGAAGGATTATTCTAATAATTTCTTTTGGTGTTGCCTCTAAGAGCTACTTGCTCATACTGAAAGGAAAATTATTTCTCAGCCAAAAAAAGGGTCCTATTCATAAAGTTGTCTCAATAATTTGTAAAGATGAGACTCTGATAAGCTTAAGACTATGGCCGCTCAGCTTTTTCTCAAGAATATTGTGAGAAAATTATAAGAACAACTCACAGAACCAAAGTTAAGTCTTAATACTTTAATAAGTCATCATGTGGCAAGATTTACACATGAAAAAAAATCAACAGTGGCCTCAAAGAGGGGCTGGCATTGTAGTATATCAGGTTAGCCACTGTTTGCAACACCAGTATCTCATATGAGAACCAGTTCAAGTCCCAGCCGCTCCACTCCCCATCCAGTTCCCTGCCAACGTGCTTGGTAAATTAGCAGAAGTTAGCCCAAGTATTGGGTTCCCTGCCACCCACAATGGAAATCCAGATGGAGTTTTAGGCTTCTGTTTTAGCCCTGGTCATTGCAGCCATTTGGCAAGTGAAGCAGCAGATAAAAGATGTATTTTTCTGTCTCTCTAATCCAACCTTTTAAAGAAATAAACAAATATTTTTAAAAAATGTTTCTATATGGGCCGGCGCCGTGGCTCACTTAGTTAATCCTCCGCCGGTGGTGCTGGCATCCCATATGGGCACCAGGTTCTAGTCCCGGCTGCACCTCTTCCAGTCCAGCTCTCTGCTGTGGCCCAGGAGGACAGTGGAGGATGGCCCAAGTGCTTGGGCCCCTGCACCCGCATGGGAGACCAGGAAGAAGCACCACCTGGTTCCTGGCTTCAGATCCATGCAGCACCAGCCGTAGCGGCCATTTGGAGGGTCAACCAACAGAAGGAAGACCTTTCTCTCTGTATCTCTCTCACTGTCTATAACTCTACCTGTCAAATAAAAAGATGTTTCTATATAGAATGGCTGTTGTCAGAGAAAAGGATTTAGAGTCTACCTTGATATAAGCATACTTTCACCTGCATCATATTTATGTTTAAAATGACTTCTACTATATCCCACTGATTCAAACATGTTGTTTCTCTAAAAATAATTGAGGCCCTCCTTGGAGTGTAACGTTAACTTGTACTCCTTCAACAGCTCATACTCTTTTTCTACATGTTCACCAAAGGATCGTCTGAGTAGTGTGTGTGTGTGTGTGTGTGTGTGTGAGAGAGAGAGAGAGCGCGCGAGAGAGAGAGAGAGAGAGAGAGAGATTGATTCAGTAAAATAGCATTTACTGGGCATTTCTAGCAAACAAGTTCACCTAAATGAACTTTCAAAATTATCCTTTGTAAAAGCAAATTCATTTCTTTTAAGTAGAGAAGATATCAATCTGTGGGATAGTCTTACAGAAATAGTTTTAAAATGCAACTTGCTTCCAGGAGGATGTACAAGTAATCTGGCTAATAAAATAGGCAAGAGTATGCTTACAGTTTGATTGTTATGCCAAAGGCCATCTGAAGACTGTGTCATGGTGCCATTCCCATCTGCTCAACAAGAAGAAAAATTAATTAGAATTACAAAAATATTGAATTTTTACTGCAGACACTAAATATATTCACTTTGCCTTCTGGTGATGAATGAAAAGTTGAATTATAATATGATCAAAAGCTGCGTGCATTTCAAAAGCCATACCAAGTTATTAACATTTTATTAATTTATCCAGTAAAGTTGTGTTTTGCAACCTTTTTGTAATGGGCTCTTTGAAAATAGACCCCTTTTATTCTTCATGGAAAAAAAAGCCATGTACACAGGAGGTTTTACCTACAATTTTATGGGAATCATAGAGGTCCACTCATGGAACCAGCTTAAGAAAGCCTCTTAAAGGTAATCAACATTTTCATGGCAGCTAAAAAGTCATAGAGGAGAACTCCAAGGCCATACACATATCCAAAGAGCAGAACCACCCAATTCAGAATGGACATTACATTGCCTTTACCTTTAGAATATGGGTAAAATGTACCATGCTATCCAAGATAGGTGACACATAACTTGTATATTATATGCCAATGTGTCTAGAAGTACTTTAGAAAATATATTAGCCACAAGACCAATATATCTTATATCATATAGTGACTAGGATTTTATTCAGTATAAGACATAATATTCTTAGAGTTCTGAACCCTCAAAGTTTTGGAAGTGTTCACCTATCTTGAAATAGACAATGTGGGGGCTGGCGCTGTCATTCAGCAGGTTAAGCTACAAGTCTCGGCTGTTCCACTTCCAGTGCAGCTCCCTGCTAAAGCAACTGGGAAAGCAGTGGAGGATGACCCATTTGCACTGGCCTCTGCACCCACATGAAAGGCCCAGATGAAGCTCTTAGCTCCTGGCATTGTCCTGGCCCAGCCATTTGGGGAGTAAACCAGCAGATGGAAGACCCCTCTCTCTTCCTCTTTCTCTCTGTAACTCTGCCTTTCAAAATAAATAAAATAAAAATCTTAAAAAAAAAAAAAGAAAGAAAGAGAGAATAACGCTCTGGCATGGTAGTGTCATAAGTTGCCACCTGCATCAGCATCCCATATGGGTACCAGTTCAATTCCCCACTGATCCACTTCCAATCCAGCTCCCTGTTAATGTTCCTGGGAAAGCAATGGAAGATGGCCCAAGTGCTTGGGCCCGTGCATCTACGTCAGAACCTAAATGAAGCTCCTGCCTCCTAGTTTTGACCTGGCCCAGCCCTGAACGTCGCAGCTATTTAAAGAATGAACCAGTGGATACATGATCTCTCTCTCTCTCTCTCTTTCTCTCTCTCTCTGTGTGTGTGTGTGTGTGTGTGTCTCCTTTTCTCTCTGTAACACTGCATTTCAAATAAATAAATATATAAATATTTTAAAAAAGAAAGATAATGTATTCTGCTGACCATTCCAGGCAACTGTAGATCAAATACAGAATTTTCTTTTTGCTGAATATCCACCATATTCTATGCATTTTCCATCCTAAAAACTGGTTCCTTAGTCCCATTTTAATGAGAAGAAACAGACAGGGAGTGGGTAAACAAGCTTGCAATATACAAAAGCCTTTTCTGGGACTAAGAGTCAAAGGGAGCACATAAACAAGTCCAGTACCTGCTAATACTAACCGATAGAATAAATAAAGGGGAGAGTGATCCAACATGGGAAGCGAGATACTCAGCAGACTCATAGAATGGCGGATGTCCTAAACAGCACTCTGGCCTCAGAATCAGCCCTAAAGGCATTCGGATCTGGCTGAAAAGCCCATGAGAGTATTTCAGGCATGGAAAGCCAAGACACTCTGGCAAAAAAAAAAAAAAAAAACCTAAATGAAAGATCTCTGTGAATGAGATCCCAGTGGAAAGAACAGGTCTTCAAAGAAGGAGGTACCTTTCTCTGAAGGGAGGAGAGAACCTCCACTTTGACTATGACCTTGTCTAAACAAGATAAGAGTCAGAGAACTCAAGGGGCTTCCATAGCCTTGGAAACTCATGACTGGTGCATAGGGAGATTACTGATGCCATAGACAGGAGTGTCAATTTGTAAAGTCAACAACAGGAGTCACTGTGCACTTACTCCTCATGTAGGATCTCTGTCCTTAATGTGCTGTACATTGAGGCTTAATGCTATAACGAGTACTCAAACAGTATATTTCACTTTGTGTTTCTATGGGGGTGCAAACTGTTGAAATCTTTACTTAATGTATACTAAACTGATCTTCTGTTAAAAAAAAAAAAAAGAAGAAATTATCAATTCCCAACTTGACTCTCACTGGGATTAAACATGACAATAGGTCTGATCTGATTTCATCATCATTTAAAAAATCATCTATTATTTTTCACTTTATGTTTCTGTGTGGGAGCAAACTGTTGAAATCTTTACTTAATGTATGCTAAACTGATCTTCTGTATATAAAGAGAATTGAAAATGATTCTTGATGTGAATGGAAGGGGAGAGGGAGTGGGAAAGGGGAGGGTTGCAGGTGGGAGGGACGTTATGGGGGGGAAGCCATTGTAATCCATAAGCTGTACTTTGGAAATTTATATTCATTAAATAAAAGTTAAAAAAAAAAGCCTTTTCTGCAAACTACCACATACATTGCACTCCCATCAAATGTACATAGTATATTCTACAAAATGTCGTAACTACTGACAAAGCCAGGGAGTCCCAACATGAATAAAATTGGACTAATGATATCCCCCAAAATGTATACTACTGTGTTTACATTTCAATCATTCTGAGACTACCTAATACAGCATCAAAGGTAATATCTAGATTCAGGCAATATCTAATCCAAGGTCAGTTTGTGATTTATGTTATGTTCTTAAATAAAACCTTCAAGAATAGGACTGGTTGATAAAATAAAAATAATATAGACTTCAGTCAAATAAAATTTGAGTTCAGTACTGACAATGTCCATTATTAATGTAACCTTCATACTCAAGTTCCTTTGCATACATGCATATGTATATATGTACATATATATGAAGGCAGACACACAGCTACATCAAAAAGTACATGGAAAAAAAGCTTATTTTGGATCAAAAATTCTGAAATCCATGCATAATTTTTTCATAATATGCATTTTTCAGAACTTGTTGAGGATCTTTTCTATGCATGGCTTTTTAAAGTTTTCTACCAAAATATGTGTATCTTTTCATTCTATTTTACATGAACTTTTTAAAGTACCCCTGTATATCTGTTGCTGGGATAACATCGAGCTACAAACTATTAGTACCAAACTTAGAGGTGGGAATTCAACCAGTGATTAATCTGCTCTTGTCCCAGCTCTCTTAGCACAATGCCTGCCTGATCTGTCACATGTACTGTCTTCATTACTTCTCTTTAAACTTGACTAGCATGCTTACTGCTAGTCAGAGAGAGAGAGAGAGAGAGAGAGGTGCACTTGTCCCATATCATATTACCCAAGTTTGGTACCTGGTTCCAGATCCTGACTTCAGCTACTTGCTCATGAAGATCCTGGGAAGCATGGTGGATGGATCAAATGATTGGGTTCCTGCCACCCATATGGGATACTAGGATTGAGTTCCCAGCTTCAACCAAGCCCAGTCCCAGCCTCTGGCATTTGGAAAGTAAACTAGCAGATCGGCACTGTCTCTCTCTCTCTTTCTCTCTCTCTCTCTCTCCCTCTGCTTCTCAAATATCTATAGTTTTTAAATTTTTAAAAGGTACACAATTTACATATAAAGTTGCAATGAAATAAGATGATGCATGTAAAGCACTAGATACCATGTTAGAAAAATATCAGCTATTATTACTGTCTGTATGTGGAAAGGAGCAGTGAAGAGGGGGAAGAGATCGTGTGCAATGCACCTTCCAAGTATTATTTACTTTAATCATCCTGAGAGGGATGTTCAACAACGTGTCCATGGAAAGGCAGCTAGTCAGAGGCAGCTGAATGGGGAGCCGTGTGTCTCCAAAGCAGATCTATATGGTGTCTCCAACCTGACAATGGCAATCAAGGTGGGCTGCTTTGAAAGAATTAAATGAGAATGTGTATGAGTGCTGTGCCCCATACATCTATCAAAGGTGGGTGGCAGGTCCTATGACAGCCACAATAATACCTTCCAGGCCTCGCATGCTTTGCTTCCATGAAGTCTTAGCCAACAGAGGGCTGACATCAACACAGTGAGGACTTGGCCCAAGAGACTCCAATGTTCGGCCAAAATGGCAGCATTTACATGAGTCCTGGGGACACAGCTGCTCCGATGTCTGTTCCACTCTGGAAAGCTCTACGTTGACCAGGTTTTCCTGACATGATATTTTAGAGAATGATTTCCCACTCCTACTGTCTTCCTCCACATACCCTGAAAGACTGGGTTGCAGCTGCTCCTACTGCTGCTACCTTGTGTTTTTATCTATTTTCATTTTGTTTTTGTGCCCAGAAACAGTTCCCACCACGGATTCCATTTTCAAAACCAAATGTCACCGTTATTTAATCCCAACTGAATGGGTCCTTCTGTGAATTTCATCGCAAGTCCATTTTAAATTAATCAGCTTCCAGGAATGATTAGCAAAAGGTAGGCCAAAGCAGGTAGAAGGAGATGCAGACCCACAAGGACTGAGCAGGATGAGTCATACCCAGGAGGAGTCCTGCAAGACTGGACCTGGTTTGGATGAACACAGGCACAAGGACACAGCCAGCTCTGCATCACAAAAGGATTTAGCATGTGACACTCCCAAAACTCACCTCTGCGGGTGACAGAGAGTTATCTGGGAAAGCTGACAGGGTTCTCCTGTCTCCAGCTTAATCAGGAGGAGTCAGTTCTACATTTCTAAAGAGCAGATATCATAAGGGACCTGTCCAGAACCTGGAGACAGTTTAGGGGGGCCACGGCAGGATGTCAGCCCATCTGCCCTAGCTCATTCAGGCTGCTTTAACAAAATACCTTAGTCTGAGTTACTTCTAAACAACAGAAATTTATTGCTTTTATAGTTCTGCAGGCTGCAAAGTCCAAGATGAAGGCACAAGCAGACCAGATATCTGGTGAGGAGGAAAGGGCAAGCAAACTCCTATAAAGGCACTAAGCACATTCATGAGCAATCCACTGTCATGACATAATCACCTCCCAGAAGCCCTAGGTGCTAATAGTATTGCATTGGGATTACGTATCAATATATGACTATTGCGGGGCACATAAACACAAATAGGCAGGATGCAGCCTATCAGAATGCTCGTGTCAATACAAGTTTGATAAAGCAGCATGGGAAGCTCCTGACTGTATTTAGGGTCAAGGACAGGGAGGAAGCCTGGGACCAGTTTGATCTACACCAGAGGGCTGATTTTAATGGGCTTAAGGCCTTGGCCCAAAAGATTAAACCCAGTGATAGACCTGGAGTCAAGACTGGGTAATATGATTTTTAAAAATATACTAATATGGACATAGATGTTCCCAAATCATACACACTACCTGTACCACACAGGCATATGGATTCTATATATCCTGAGTAGTATCTATAACTTACTCCTCATCCTTAAAACTATGTTCAAAGTCCTCCATTTCAGTTATTCCTCAGAAGCATTCTTCAATACCAGTGGTATGATATGCATTTAACAAATAATAAAATGGACTCAGAAAGGGTGGATGTTTATATAAATCACACAGCTGATTTGAGTGGACAGTGCCCACACTCAAGTTAGAAATGTGTATCCCAAAATGTGTGCTCTCAACAATGTCCATGATTATCAATATTTGAATGCTCTCAAGTATCTAGGAAAGAGAATACAGTTACCTGTTGGGCAAGAATACAAGGAAGGTGAGCTGGTGGGTTGTGTTCTTGTTCCCTGTAGTGTTGTAGACTGGATTTCTGTTTGCTGAGTTGAAGAAGATGAAGTAGTGACTAGAATGAAAAGAGTGGAAGAACTATGTCCCATTTATGGAGGAAATTCATACCCACAACAAAGATTAAAATAAAATCAGGAATTACCATCAACTTCCCACAGTGTATTCACCTAGCCTTCTGGAGGCTAGGCTCCCACCTACTCATTTCTAGCCCACTGGAAGTTAATTTAGAGCTGGCCATTAGACATTGTACTGTTGTCAAGTTACTTCAGGGGCCAGTGCTGCGGCGTAGCAGGTAAAGCCATTGCCTGCAGTGCCAGCATCCCATGGGCACTGGTTCAAGATCCAGCTGCTCCACTTCCAATCCAGCTCTCTGCTATGATCTGGGGAAGCAGTAGAAGATGGCCTAAGTCTCTGGGCCCCTGAACCCAAATGGGAGACCAAGAAGAAGCTCCAGGCTCCTGGATTCAGATCAGCTCAGCTCTGGTAGTTGCAGTCATTTGGGGAGTGAACCAGCAGATGGAAGACCTCTCTCTTTCTCTCTCTCTCTGGCTCTATCTCTCTATGTAGCTCTGTCTTTCAAATAAATAAAATAAATATTTTTTTAAAAAGTTAATTCATTATCACAAGTAAATGTGATCTCTATATTATTTTAGACAGTTTTTTCAATATATGAGAATATTTTACCTTTCCCACCCTTCTTGGTTTCCTCTAAATGTATAAAGCCTAACAACATCCCATGTGTAACACTCAACGAATCATCTATTGTATTTATACAAATGACATTTCACTTTCAGGGAACAGGGCCTGGGAGCTTCTACTGACTTCCTCCTCCTTTCAGATTTCCTGTCCTTATTCAAATCCACACTACACACACATTTTCTCAGGAGACACAGATTATTGACCAACACAGAACAGATACTCAAGGTATTTAACTCAGTAAGATCTCTTCAAGATGACAACATTTCCAGTGTCTTGGGCTTGGTAATGATTTGCAACCCTCAGAGCAAAATTCTTGGTAGAACTTGATCCCAGCTCCTTTTACACTTACATTCTAGCCATTCATTTTTAAAGAAGGATTTCCTGTGTTGTCTGACTCAGCTTCTACTTCTTAATAAAAAGTTGCCATTAGGAATGCTCCAATACAGGGCTACATTCCCCTTTCCTGTCCTGGAGTCTCTCCTCTGTTTTTGGTCAAATGGCTCACCCTACCATCAGAGTTGAGGATTCACCTCTTTATAAGGACTTTACATGATTTCCTTCTTTTCAAGCACCATGGAATTTTGGAGAAAGTTAGTGATGGTGTCTGCCGAAGAATTCCCAGCCTAGGCTTTCCTAATTGCAGCTAATTGGTCTTCCTAGTTACCGTTCCTCACTACAGTCTCACATTGTCTTCTCACATTCTGAACTGCTTTCCTCTAGAGCTCAAATCTGTTAGAGGAAGTGGCTTTCTTTCAGAACTAAAGCCAGGACAGCCACAAAAGAGTCAGACGGTCAGTATTCAGTTTAGTTCTATGCTAAAGAACCTCTTGAGCTTAACTTCTATTTCAGGTTTGGATCCTGTGACATCTTTTTATTTTCTCCCTTGCTTTTATAATCTGACATCCAATTGTTCCATGAATATTTTAGGCAGCTAGAAGGAGCACAGAGAGGGATGCATGTAATGATAAATGTCCCTGCGTTAGATTAACTACAGTGCTCATTACCCTGTACTATAAAGTTCAACTCAAACTCAAAGCTCCTTAGCAAACTATCAGATTAAGAATAAGGTTCCATTAATATCACCTCTAGGAGGTCATATGGACATATAAACCAACACTTTCCTTCTGAATTTCAGCTTTAAGTGAAATCAGTAACATATATTTTCTCCAAACCAGGTCCATTCATCCATCTACTTTAGCAAGCACAAACTCAATATTAAAGAGTTTTATTGAGAAAGTCTAATGGATTCTGCAGTGTTTTCAGCTGCCTAAAACAAAGATAGTTTTCTTCTAAACTTTTCTGACTCTAAAATCCAAGTTACAATCTAAAGCCCTCTCTTCCAAACTCAGCTCATAGCACAACCCCTCAGATCTCCCCTGGTTAAATACACACATGGTTCAGTTGCAGTCAAGGGAAATCAATATATTCCATCAGATATTTCTGGCTAAGAGCTATGTCATTTCTGTTACTCAGAATCAAGAGCCACTTCAAGGGTCGAAGGGTTTCAGGAGGTGTTAGAAGTTAACCAATGGCGTGTGTTCATAAAAACTTTGATTAGATTATGTATAGCCCTGATGCCTGCATCTAGTCCTCAACTGCAAAGAGGGCTGAATTGAAAAAAAAAAATAAATAGACATATACATTCTAAATCCCTGCAGTCTTTAAATCTGATGTTTACATTTTCATCAGTATAAATAGCATCTTTTGCAACTTCTACCCTACATAACTACATTAAAGAACCCTTGAAGCAAGACTATGTAAGTCACTGACTGCCCTGTTGTATGAAGTCTTTCTCAGTGAGGATGTCAGATCAGGACAAAGTTACCCAGACATAAACTCAGAGTTCATGATAGGAGGCAAGATCCAATATTTAAAGGCACCAGCCTCAAATTCAAATCAAGAGACTGAATCCGGACTTTCTATCTTATATGACTTTGAGCAATGAACACTGGACTCTGTGTTCCCACAAGAATAAAATAAGACTGCATCAAATGGGTATAATCATTCTAAGAATTAATGATATAATATTTTTCACAGATTTGAAAGACAGAGATACAGAGAAGTAAGAAAAGAGAGAGAGAGAGATCAATCTTCCATCTGCTGGTTTGCTCCCCAAATGGCCATATCTGCTGGGTCTGGGCCAGGCTGAAACCTGGATCCAGGAGCTTCCTCTGGGTCTCCAACATGGATACAGGGGCCCAAGTACTTTCCCAGGCACAGTAGCAGGAAACTAGATTGGAAGTGGAGCAACCACACTTGAACTGGTGCCCAAATGGGATGCCAACTTTGCACATGGAGGCTCAAACTTCTATGCCACAATGCTAGACCCAATATTTTAAAGCATTATAGCATGGTGCCCACTATATAGGAAACAGTAAAAGTTATTACTGAACTCTTGTTCTCCAGTCCTGGGTCCCACTTCAGAGCAGATTAAATGGTCTCTCTTCAGACCTCCTTGGGAGGACAGAATATCATTAACCGGATCCTTACTCTCTGACATTCCCTACACTTTCATTGTACATCTGTAGCCACTTGGGTGAGATCCGGAACCCTGGTGGGTATTCTACCTCAGGAGTCCATCTGTTTTTAGCTAATATTGAGTCCCTCTGAGAGTCTGATGAAATGTGATGGACGCCCTCACTCTGAAAATACCAATAATGACTTGGGAAACGAGGAGGATCACAGACCCTGTGAGGCCCACACACTAAGCCCAGGTAAGGACCCTTACAGAGATGACACCACTGCCTTGAAACAATGCCCTACATGACCTATAGCTTTGCACCGGAAAGCTTCTGAGCTCAGAAAGATATTTGTTTTACCTGGTTTGTGGTTCTGAGTGGGTGCTGGCGTTGGATAAGCAGAGGTAGAGACCCTAGGTGATGTTGGAACACTTGTATCCTCAGCTGGAGTTGGAAATCAACATGAAAGAGAAGATCAATCAAGCGGCAAGAAACAGAGCTTCATGCTGGAATTGTAGCCCAGCACTCGATAGAGACTCCCCAGGCAAATTGTCTCTCCTGAACTCTCTTGTTCTTTGCCATTGGCCAACTAGACAAAGGAGGGCTTTGGAAACCTGCTCATAAAAAAGGAAGCAGTTGCCCTGACACATCCATATTCAGGAGGCCAGAACAGAAACCTCCTACTTGTGTTGAAGCACTTTCTAAAAACCAGTCATGCATATCTTGTGCGTCCTCACAAACATCTGTGAAATAAGAGAGAGTGTTAGTGCAGGAGCTGCCCTGTAGGCTCTCAGGGATAAATGACTAAGACTTGTAACTCTGGTGTGTGGACCAGATACAGACAGTTCAATTCAGTCAGTCCTGAGGTACATTCCCCAGGGACCTGCATCCTAGCAGAGCATTAACTCCCACCCACTAACCCATGCCAATCACAGGTAAGGCCACCACAAAGGATTTGTTGCAGAGTTAGAAGGTGGGCAAGCCCTTCTAAGGTTCCTTCCCACTGAGACCATTTACAAATTCATAAGAGCTAATAACCTCTTCCAAGATCAGAAGTGCTAGAGGAATCCAAATAGCTATTGAGGTCTGAGAATTATTCAGAGAGGAAAGAGAGAGACAGAAACAGAGAGAGAATCAATCTTTTGTCTGCTAGTTTACTCCCCAAATGGCCACATTTGCTGGGTCTGGGCCAAGGTGAAACCTGGATCCAGGAGCTTCCTCTGGGTCTCGCACATAGGTACAGAGGCCCAAGTACTTTCCCAGGCACAGTAGCAGGAAACTAGATTGGAAGTGGAGCAACCGACACTTGAAATGGTGCCCAAATGGGATGCCAACTTTGCACATGGAGGCTCGAACTTCTATGCCATAGTGCCGGCCTCAATATTTTAAAGCATTATAGCATGGTACCCGCTATATAGGAAATAGTAAAGGTTATCACTGAACTCTTATCCTCTAGTCCTGGGTCCCACTTCAGAGCAGATTAAATGGTCTCTCTTCAGACCTCCTTGGGAGGACAGAATATCATTAGCCAGATCCTTACTCTCTGACATTCCCTACACTTTCATTGTACATCTGTAGCCACTTGGGTGAGATCCAGAACCCTGGTGGGTATTCTAGCTCAGGAGTCCATCTGTTTTTAGCTAATATGGAGTCCCTCTGAGAGTCTGATGAAATGTGATGGACGCCCTCACTCTGAAAATACTAATGCATACAAATAATGACTTGGGAAACGAGGAGGATCACAGACCCTGTGAGGCCCACACACTGAGCCCAGGTAAGGACCTTTACAGAGATGACACCACTGCCTTGACAGGATGCCCTGCATGGCCTACAGCTTTGCATCAGAAGGCTTCTGAGCTCAGAAAGATATTTGTTTTACCTGGTTTGTGATTCTGAGTGGGTGCTGGTGTTGGATAAGCAGAGGTAGAGATCCTAGGTGATGTTGGAACACTTGTATCCTCAGCTGGAGCTAGAAATCAACATGAAAGAGAAGATCAATCAAGCGGCAAGAAACAGAGCTTCATGCTGGAATTGTAGCCCAGCACTCGATAGAGACTCCCCAGGCAAATTGTCTCTCCTGAACTCTCTTGTTCTTTGCCATTGGCCAACTAGACAAAGGAGGGCTTTGGAAACCTGCTCATAAAAAAGGAAGCAGTTGCCCTGACACATCCATATTCAGGAGGCCAGAACAGAAACCTCCTACTTGTGTTGAAGCACTTTCTAAAAACCAGTCATGCATATCTTGTGCGTCCTCACAAACATCTGTGAAATAAGAGAGAGTGTTAGTGCAGGAGCTGCCCTGTAGGCTCTCAGGGACTAAGACTTATAACTCTGGTGTGTGGACCAGATACAGACAGTTCAATTCAGTCAGTCCTGAGGTACATTCCCCAGGGACCTGCATCCTAGCAGAGCATTAACTCCCACCCACTAACCCATGCCAATCACAGGTAAGGCCACCACAAAGGATTTGTTGCAGAGTTAGAAGGTGGGCAAGCCCTTCTAGGGTTCCTTCCCACTGAGACCATTTACAAATTCATAAGAGCTAATAACCTCTTCCAAGTTCAAAAGAGCTAGAGGAATCCAAACAGCTATTGAGGTCTGAGAATTATTCAGAGAGGAAAGAGAGAGACAGAAACAGAGAGAGAAAGAGAGAGAGAGAGAGAGGGAGAGAGAGAGAAACACTAAGACTACAAAAGCAGAGCCAATGATGGGCTGGATCAAGAGTAAATGAGTAAACATGTACTTCTCTCTAAGCAGGCACATATCTTTCCTATAACGTTTCTTAAATCTCCACTCTACTAATTATAAAGTAAAACCTCAGTTCCCTGGAAGTGGGTTTGAAAACTCTTCTTTTGAGGGATAAAATTTAATTTGGGATCTGGTCAGTATTTGTCTTAAAGAGAAAAATTATTATTATGAGTACCTGTTAGGTACAAGGCATTAGTTAAAGTACAAGTTAGTAAACTTAGCTATACAGGGCCATTAATAAATGTTTTAAGCTTGTAGGCCTGTGATTTCAGAGGCAACTCTCAACTCTATCTGAAAGTAGTCATGGACAATATGTAAATGAGTGAGGGTGGCTGTGTTCCAATAAAACTTATTTATTGAAATTTTAATGGGCTCGTTATATAAGCTGATCTGGTCCTGAGGCTATAGTTTATTCATTATAGTTCTAATGTGTAGTCAGAGATTTGGGTACAATTCAATCTTCTCCCTCAACAGTTTAAAATCTGATCTACAGGGAAAAGCTAGCATGCAAAAGTTCTGATCAATGGATCATAATGGGAAGAATAAAGGATGATGAAATTTCATCAACTCATGAACTTTTCTTCCAAAGGAGCATTTTCCCCAGAAAGCTGGGGAACTATAAAGTTGGAAGGAGCTAAGAGAGTTGAAGAGTGAGCTTGGCATTGGAAAAGTGCAAGAAAACTTAAGCAAAGAGTTGGTCATTGGGGAGCAAGGCAGAGAGACACTTGTGCTTAGTTACTTAATCTGATTGGACCTTCTTTCCAAATGGATACAAAATCATTTCATAAATATTCACCTATAAAAAATTTCTAAGCACTATGGAAGTCTTCTACTAATTAATTTCCATGCCACTTTTTAAAATTCAGCTGGGTTGGTAATGTCACTTCACAGCTCTATGAAGTGTGCAGACATAACTCTCTTACTCTTCTCCACAAGCCACCCCCAACATGTGTGCATAGCACATGACACCACCAGCCTCTTCTGGTTTCCCTAAATTCCCTCCCAGACATAGTTTCCCCAGAGTCAGCTCCATCAGAGTTAACCTCATCTTTCTTTCCTGTCTTTAACAGGAAATAAACCAAGTCCAAAAGCCAATAGGTTGCAAAATAATGTTCCTGTTAATTAGAAAAAGAGAAGGAAAAACAAGAAGCAGGTTATTAAGGCCATAAGTATTGGCTTCTAGTGTCAATAGAAGGCCTTTATAGAAAGAGATTGATTAAGAAACAATAGCAGAAACCAGGAAATCCTCAAGAACCTACTCTTCATCAAACAGAGAGAATTAGGATATCCACATCAACATGGAAAATGTAGGTATTTTTGTCTGGTGAACATCTTAAAAGCCACTAGTGAACAGTTCTTAGAATGCAAATCTTTTCATAGAAGGTCATTTACATTTTTAAAGGATAAATTTTTGTGCAATGATGTGATATACTTAAAAAAATCCTCCATAGGGCCAGGAGAGGTGGTTGAATTACATACTTATACAATATATATGCTCAACAAAGTTCGGTCAACAACTATTAAACCTGAATGATTTATCTACAGAGTAATACTTTATATTGCCTATTTTTCATGTGTGAATCCCATTGTGGTCTTAACATGTTATACAAGGACATTGTAACATTCTTGTGAGATAGAATCTCAAGGAAAGGGGGCCATTCTTTAAGTTGAACAAATGCAGCTTGATAAAAATTTTTACTATATTTCCCTCTGGAACAGTGAATGCTATCTCATGGACAAATAGCTTGCTTGAAGTCCTGCTTTAGGAGGTTATTTGCTGATCCTAGCCATTGGCCTCGGATCAAGGTTGCTTTTACAATTGCATCCACACAAGTAAAAGTTACTCTATTTCCCAAGAGCCAGAGTTTATTGGAAAATGGGATTATAGGAACTTCCTTTTACCCTATAAAAGGAAAAAAGAAAATTACTCCGTAACAGAAAATTCAGTTAACCCACACAAAATATCAGTGTAAAGAAGATAAGCTTACCTGGTTTAACCTCCAATGATAGGGTGATCTTCCTATCATTGAACCATCCCCAGTGCTCAATACGGCAACAATAGAGGCCACTGTCAGCCTCATTACCATTCTCTATGGTCAAAGACACATTCCCTTGCAAAATATCCCCCTTTAGCTTGTAACGCATGTCCTTCTGAAAGGTGACACGGGATCCATCAGTCCAGATGAGCTGCTCTGAGCACCGAGATGTAGGACATGCCCCTCTACCCCAGCACATGGATGTGACCGCTCCATTTGTTACTGAATAGGTGCAGGGTAGTGTGACCGGCCAACCCACCACTCCACTCACTTGCGTATAAGAAACTACAGCACCTGCAATAAAGAGAAGATAAACAGAGAATGAGGTCCCATTATTTTCCTAAAGTATTTTTTGACTGTTTAATGGATATATTTGTAAATAAAACAACATATTATTCTGTAGGATACTCAGGTTGTTTGTGATTTTTACCACTGGAAATAACATCAAAAAACTTTTCTACATAACAGTTTTCTGTGTTTAGGATGTCTACCAGATAGATGTCTAAGAGGAAAATCACCAGGACAAAGGGCAGGAGTCTTTTCAGCCTTTTGATGAATATGGTCAAATGGCTTTCCACTAAGTTTGAAACAAATGACAGTTATGTGAAAACACGAATGTGTATTTTGCTCTGTATTTGCCAGACATCTACTGTTACTACTTTTATAATAGGTAATAGATACATGTGGCTTTTTTTTTAAGATTATTTATTTATTTGAGAGGTAGAGTTACAGGCAGAGGGAGAGACAGAAAGGTCTTCCTTCTGTTGGTTCACTCCCCAAATCACCGCAACAGCCAGAGATGCACCGATCCAAAGCCAGGAGCCAGGTGCTTCTTCTCAGTCTCCCACAAGTGTACAGGGGCCCAAGGACTTGGGCCATCCTCTACTGCTTTCCCAGGCCACAGCAGATAACTGGATTGGAAGAGAAGCAGCTGGGACTAGAACTGGAGACCATATGGGATACTGGCGCCGCAGGTGGAGAACTAACCTACTGCGCCATGGCGTTGGCCACGTGTGTGGCTTTTTAAAATGAAGACAGCACCAAAGGCCTTGCAGTGAAAAGTCTGCCTCCTTCTCTAGGGCCCCAGGCTCCTAGCCTAGATTCATTCACTGTATCCACTGACATTTGTTTTAAAAAATAAATTCTATTGCATTTAAATTTCAAACTTTTAATTATTATAATTTTTAAATTGTTATTGCAAATAAGATCACCTAAAAAGCAGAGCTAATATTTTATTTAAAGCATTGCTGACTTGAAGGCAGAAGTCTAGTAAACTATTCAGAAATCAATTTTTAGAAAATGAGTTTATAACACTTTTAGCAGGAATTGGGCTACTATGGGCTTTTGAATCTGTCCTCACCTAAACAGACAGACAAAAAATTCCAAGCAGTGATTCTCTGTCATAAATTGATGACAGCCTAGTGACTGAGTAAGAACCACTTACCCAGGTGAAACCACAGAATTGAAGAATACCCAATCAAGTACTAAATCATGCCACTTAAAAACAAAATTATCTCTGAGATAGTGGCATTAAAATCATGTTGCCAAATGCATTCAAGGTCACCCTTAAAGGAAAAGTGAGAGGATTCACTACCTAAACATATTTGGTACTGGGCTGTAACTTTTGGAGCTATTCTAGGAAAAAATGCCCACTGGTTCACAAAATAAGAGTTTATTTCTCACTGGAATTCTTATAATTGAATTCTGCCTAATATTTTGTAGGTTACACATGTAAGACATTATAATTAGGTTATAGCAATATGCAACAACAACAAAAAATTCCCTATATTCCCACCCTCCAGAGATTAGTTTTTAAAATTTAGGATATGTCTATTCCAACATTTCGTACTATTTCACAGAATATTTTAATGAGCCTCGGAAGACAGTAGATGATAGCTCAAGTATATGGAGTTCCTGACTTCTGACTTCAGTCTTGCCCAGTTCTGGTTGTCATAAACATTTTGGGAATGAAACAGCAGATAGAAAATCTCTCCTCTCTCTCTCTCTCTCTCTCTCTCTCTCTCTCTCTCTCTCTCACTGTTATTCCACTTTTCAAATTAGTTTAACACAATAATTGAACATGGTTTTTTTTTTTTTTTTGTCCAGAAAGCACAAAGTAACACACAGAAGGACTAACTCTCCCTTTCACCTCTGATTCCCAGCTCTTCCCCACATGCCTCACCCCACTCTATGGAAACCACAGTTGCTATACTTACATACACTGGCCTATGTGCACATATCCACCCATTCTTTTTCTTTTCTTCAAACACAAATTGTAGCATGTGACACACTACTCTGCTCTTCATGTTTCCTTGTTCACTTTGCCACAGATTTTGTAATTCTTAGTTGCTTAGCAAATTCTTTGGATTAAGATTTCACCCTGGTTTGCTGCTCACTGGTTAACTCATAGCCCTTCAACAAAGCCCCAAGGCAGATGCACATCTACCTCCCTCCTCTGCTCCACCTCCTACCCTTCTCCCCTGCCCTTTTCTCCGGGCTTCCACACCCCCAGCCCACCGACTCACCTGTGAAAAGTAGTATGAGGCTTAAAGTGAATATCTGGGGCAACATGATGGTGTCAGCTGGAAGGAAAAGGAATGGGCAGACTGGCTGGATGGTCTCAGCACGTCTTAGCTCTAGACTGCAACTTCTCCTTTCACCCTGACTAGAGGAAGCACGTGAGCCTACTGTGCTGCAGACGAGAAAAGCCCACTCACAGTGGCTTCAGGGCTCTGTTAGCTCCTGGTGGTTGGGGGTTCTGCAGCTTGCAAAACACGGAGAAAAATATCCTTAGAAACAGCTCCTTCCCTATATATAACCTCCAAAGTGACTTCGAATCCTGACACAGCAGATAAGGGAGGAAACAGAAAGGAAACTGAAGGCAGAGATAGAGTACAGCTCAGTGGCAGAACTTTTTCTGCTTAGGAGCCACCATGGTTAATAGTCCCTAGCCTCAACCAGAGAATCATGTGGCCAAGTTTGCCATTAGCAGGATGAATTGAGCAAGAACATGAGTCAATCATTGTGCCTAACCATTCATATTACAGGATACTATGATTGCATCCTGCTGAAGGCTGCCAAGAGAAGTCTTCATGAAGCAGAAGTGTGGACCACATTTGGGTTCAGAGCTGAACTCTGCCATTCACAAAGCTAAGTAGCCCTGAGAATCAGTGAGCCTGTCCAAGATTGGATTTGGTTTGTAAGAAAGCAAGAACAAAGAAAAATGAATGAAAAACCACTTACTCTGTCTTTCTCAAAGGATTGGTATAATGAGCCGAAGGACTAGGAGAGAACTTTGGAAACTAAATCTTCACATGCATTAATCACATTGGCTAAAATTGTTGGAAAATTTACTACACTGCAAGGTACGCCAAGCACCCACATGCATTTACTCCCCACAGACCTCCTGAAGGAGGTGCTGTTACTAACCCCGTTGATGGAGGGGTGTGGACTTAAGACTGGAATGATTACTGCAGAGGCCTAAGTCAGTCAGGATACTGTCCTGTGCTGTGACACTGTCCTGCAGCTGGTTCCCAGGAAACACAACCTTTCAACTAACTCAAACCATGACCAAAGAAACACCTACTGTACCTTAGGAATGTTCATTAAAAATGAACTTGCATATCATATTGTAAAAAGTAAACAGTTTTTCAAAAAATAAAATAAAAGGAGCGAGGTTTCTGTCTTTGTATCATTGCAGGAACAGTGATTAACGCCATTGCTTGTTCTCCCTGCATACAGAACACATCCAGTGTGGGAATGAGTGAGGGAATGCAACGCACCCCCTAACTGAGGATCAGCTCTTCTATTTTCATGTGTTCCTTGATTGTCAGTGAGCACCCTTTGATCCCTGCGATTTTCAATGTGCCCAATAACCACACATGAATCTGTATTGTTTAAACCTTGCTCAATTCATATACCCTTCCTGAAAGGTTAAAAGCTGTAATCAAATTCAGGCTTGTGGAACAGCCAACTCAGGCAACTGACTGGTTTGTTTCCAAATTCAGATCCTCTGTTGCACTAGCTGAATAAACATCAGTTTTTATTTTTTTAGCCAGACCTCATAATTTCAGGTGACAGGGGGAAACTGAGGCTTGCAGAGGTTAAATGAGCTTAGATTCCAGGCTTCTGGCTTTGAACATTGGCTCTTAATCATTAATCCATGTTAATATGAGTAAGCCTGCCTAGTACTTCATTAACTCCCCTTCTGACCTAAAGATTCAGTAACTTCCAGGGAGGCAATAGTGTTCCAGTTCCAGCCTGATGGTCACACTTCATGTAGAAGAAGATGGTCTTAGCATACTGTGGCCATGAGTCACTCGCCACTTCAGAGGGGGAACTCTTGACTCCAGGAGTCTCCACACATAGAATACGAAGCGTAAAGCTACAAACTAGGGGCTCAAAGACTGGATTTGACCTTCAGAAGTATTTTATATGACAGTGTTTAAAAGTGTACTCCTTAATCAATGATCAAAATCTAAAACTTCAGAGAGTTCACAGGAAACTTGGATTTTTAATCTTTTGCAAAATAAAATGAGGTGACAACACATAGCCCTTACCACTCTACCCACTTAGAGTTTTCCAGTTTGCCCTATTTCCACCTGGGAGCTTCACGGACTTACCTGGGCCTTGGATGGAAGGAGGATCTTGACTTAGACATTCCTCCATTATCCTGAACACAAGCTATTCTCCTGTCACCAACCTTCCCACGGGCTGTTCCACGTCCTATTGGCTGAAATTCTGCTCTTCCATAATATGAAGGGGTGGGACCACGGCATTAAAAAATCCTTTCTGCTTTAAAATAGCAAATCTTCCTGCCTCTTGAATTCAACTGAATAATAAGATGAGTTCTACCAAAGAATAAGCATGTTTCTGGAAATTTTTCTGTCTTCTTATCCCCTATTTGATATGAGGCTCTTTCAAAATGCTGATAGAAAGTAGAATTAAATGGTAAGTTTATTTTGGTGCACAATTTTTTTAAATCAATGCATACAAGAGAACTTCAATGAGTTCATGAAAAATGTATTTTATAAAACAACTATCCATGGATTTCAAATTTTTTTTTTTTTTACCTGAGCACAGTATCTTTTGATTCCACAACCTATGAACTTCCACAAGTACTATCATGTGCATGGCAGAGACACTACTAATCCCATGTCAACCCCCCAAGGCTAGGTGACAAATGCTGAAATGGCTCACAAAGAATTAAATCCTGTCTTATTATTCTGACGCTGGGCCAAATCCCAGTAGGCCAATGATACAAATTGTTTTAAATTTAACTCAATTCTACAAATTATTACTAATGTACAGAGGCTAACAGGGCATGACTCAATATACTAAGGATGTGAAAAATCCAGGGTTGTACAATCCAGGAGAGACACAGATAAGTAAGTAACTAATAATTTGAAGCACAATGAGCTAAGTGTAAATACATAATCAGAAAAAGTCACACCACCATGGTCAACTCTCCCACTGCTCTCAGCAAAAGCAAAAATGAAACAAAAAAGCCAAAAACATAACTCCTTATCAAGAGTTCAGAAACCCCAGTGATATGGCCCCTATCTACCTCTCAGGTTTCTTCTTCTCTCCCTCTCTCCCCTCTACCCTGGCCACAGCCACTTAGGCTGTGTCTTCCACTTCCCATTTCCTCATCCTACTGTTTTACACTTTTCCCTTTTCTTCTGATCCCTGATTTATATGTCACTTCTGGAATATTTCCTGTGACCCCTAATTCTAAAATATCCAATCAATCAACCAGTGCTTCTCTCTATCATCACCCCAATTCAATTCTCTATGCAGCACTGTCTTATTTCCTTTAATGTGTTTATTTGTGTGAGTGAGATGGTGTAGGCTCTTTCTCCTCTCCTGGACAGAACAGTCTTTGATTATGGAATTATTCTGTATGGAGTTGTTCAGCACAGGCACTGTGCAGCACAGTAACCATTAGCCACCTGCAATCCCAGAGCACTTCATTTCCTCCTAGTACATCCTAGAAATTTTGAATTATTTTCATTTAATTTGATTTTAATTATTAAGTTTCCACACGTACTACTGTGTTGAGCAACACCCAACTCGAGGCCACAAACTTCTTTAAGTCAATTTAAGTGCTGATCAAAGAGAGAAACAAACAGAAGCAGAAAGACACTAAAGAGACCATTCATATTGATGGGAGTTGGCCAGTGAAGAGAATAGGAGGAAATCCCTAAAAAAGTGGCATGTAAGGTTAATAGTTGGAAAAGAATGGGTAAGCAATGTGTTAGTGGAAGAAATGATGAACAAGAATCAAGAACTGGGGCCTGCATTGTGGTATAACAGGTTAAGCTGCTGCCTGCAGCACGGGTATCCAATATGAGCACCAGTTTAAGTCCAGGCTGCTCTCTGCTAATGAGCCTGGGAAAGTAGCAGAAACCGGCCCAAGTGCTTGGGCCACTTCCCCCATGTGAGAGGCCTGGAAGAAGCTCCTGGCTGCTGGTTTGGCCTAGCCTTGTCTACAACTATTTTGAAGCATCCCCATGTGATGCTCCTATTTTTAACATTATACAGATATAAAAATTACAAGGCACTCACATTTATCATAATAAATAAAAACAATTTTAAAAATATACTCATTTCACAAATACTTGACTATCTGCAATCCGTTAGACGTAATTCCATTCATTTGGAATGTCTGAAAGATCCCTGCTCTCATGTAGCTTACGTGTAACCAGAAGACAAGTATGTAAAGTTTAAAGACATAAGCAACATCTTGCACATTACAAGATGTTGAGTGCTGGTGGGAGAAAAAAGAAAAGGGAGAGGAGGGTGGATTTCAATTTTCAATCAAATGATCAGGTCTGCTGAAAGCATCTCCCACTCTTACTTCTGAGAGAACGTATTTCGGCACAAAGAACACAAAAAGCAGTTGGCACATGCCAGAAAGATAAATAGGGAACTGAGAGGGCAGAGGCTCAAGGCAGCAGGGTGCCTGTTGTGTTCAGAGAGTGGGGGAGTGGGGCAGGGTGACTGGAACAGGGTGAGTCACACTGAACCCCAGACTGGCACTAGGAACAGACAGACATGTGGGGCTCAGGAGCCGTTTTTTGAGGACATGGGCTTCCACTCCATCTGAAAAGGAGCTGAACTGCACAGACAGAAGGAGATGGAATGCGATGTCCTTTGAGAAGCACTGCTGTGCCTGATAGATTGACAGGCAAGGAGACTTGTTGAGAGCCTATTCTAGGAATCCAGAAGGGGAGGGTTGACAGCAGACATAACCAGTGAACACCCAGTGCTCAGGCTCTGCATGCTTAGGAGGTAGAAGAGATGGGATTTCCAGGACAGCGTGAGGAGGAGGGGAAACCTGAAAAAGACTACAAGGAGTTTGGCTTGAGTCATTTGAATGACTGGAGACATCACTTAGACAGCAAAAGCTGCGTGCGCCACAGAAGTATTGCTGGGTTTAGAGCATGTTAAATGTGGCACGTTTTAAACCCAAGTGCAGAATGCTAGAATTCATGAGGGAAATCTGAACTAAAAATACATTTTGGGGAGTCACTGACTAAGAAATGGAAAGTTAAGCGTTGAGCCTGAATGGGATACTCAAGGAAAGGAATGTGGTTAAGGACTAGATCCTGGGGCCTTCCACCATTAAAATTTGAAGAGGCTGTAACACCCAAATAAAAGCGGGCCAAGGAGGCAAGAGGTAAAGCATTAGGTAAATGGGGTCTTGGAAGCTAAAAATTAGCTGCTAATGACCCTGAGTCCAACAACACATAGACAAGGAAGGAGATCTGCACACAGAGCTGAGCAACCTGGACAGCATTAGTGACGTTAGCATGTTATAATCCAGAAAAGAGTTTGCAAGGGAAAAGAAAATCAGCAAATAATTGGAAACAGAAATGTTTTCGAGAAATTTTGTAATGAAGAGCAAAAGCAGAAGGGGCAGGTGGACGAATAGGGTAAAGAAAATGTTTTGTGTTTTTTTAATGGTAAAAATAAGAGCTTCTCTGAACAATCTGGAGATGAACAAGGGAGGAAGAAAAATTGAT